AAAATGAGCATACAAAATCAGTTAATTACTATATACTAACAACAAACTATCCAGAACAATTTTTCAAATGGTCCCATTTATAAGAGTATAAAACATAATAAAATACTTTGGAATAATATAACCAAGGAGGTTAAAGATCTGTACACTGAAAATAAGACAGGATGCAATTTTAGATGGTTGAAAAAAATTGAAGAAGACAGAATTAATAGGAAAATATCCCATGTTCATGAATTGGAAAACTTAATGTTAAAATGTTCATACTACCTAAATTGATCTATTGATTCAATGCAATCCCTCTCAAAATCCCAAAGGCATTTTTCACTGAAATAAAAAAAAAGTCCTAAAATTTAGATGGAATCAGAGAAGACCCCAAGTAGGCAAAAAGTCCTGAGAAAGAACAACAAAGCTAGAGGCATCACATTCTCTAATTTCAAAATATATTACAAAGCTATAGTAATCAAAACAGTATGGTACTAGCACAAAAACAGATATATATACAACGGCAACAGAATTGAGAGTCCAGAAATTGACTTTTGCATGTACTAATCCTTGATAAGGACACCAAGAATACACAATAGTGAAAGGATAGTGTCTTCCAATAAACAATTTTAGGTAAACTGGATAGCTACCTGCAAAAGAATGAAATTGCAGCCTTAACTTACACACTCACAAAAAAAATTGAATTAAAGACTTAAATCTAACACCTAAAACCATGAAACTCCTAAAATATAGGGAAGAAGCTCCTTGACATTCTTTGCAATTATTCTTTTGGATATGATACCAAGTGTAACTAAAATAAACAAGCAGAACTGCATCAAACTTAAGAGCTTCTGTACAGTAAAAGAAATAATTTTTAAAAATGAAAAGGCGACCCATGGGAAAAAAATATTGTGTAAACTATTTATCTGATAAGGGGATAATATAAAACATATGTAAGGAAATCATACAATAGAACAAAAAACCTAAAAAATGGGCAGAGGACTTGAATAGACATTATTCCAAAGAAGATATACAAATGGTCAACAGGTACATGAAAAGATACTCAACATCACTCATCATCAGGGAAATACAAACCAAAACCACAATGAGATACCACCTCATATCTGCTAGAATGGTTAATATCAAAAAGACAAGAGGTACATAAAAGGGAAGTATTGTACACTGCTGGTGGGGGTGGAAATTGATACAGCCACTATGGAAAACAGTTTGGAAATTCCTTAAAAATTAAAAATAGAACTATCACATCCAGAAATTCCACTTCTGGATATATATCTGAAGGAAATAAATTTTTATCTTGAAGAAATATCTGCACTACCCTGTCACTGTAGCATTATTCACAGTAGTCAAGACATAGGACAACCTAAGTATCCATCAGTGGATGAATGGATAAAGAAGTTGCAGTGTGTGTGCATAATGATGGAATATTATTCTACCATTAAAAAAAAGGAAATCCTGCCATGTGTGACAAAATGGATGGACCTTGAAGGCATTATACTAAATGAAATAGGTCAGACAAAGATAAATACTGTATGTTCTCGTATGTAACAGTTAAACAGGTAGAGTAAAATGGTGGTTGCCAGGGGCTAGGGAAGAGAAGAAATAGAAAGAAATTGGGTAAAAGGTATAAACTTTCTATTAGAAAATGAATAAGTTCTGGGTATCTTATATACTGCATGGTGGTATAGTTAACAATACTGTATTATTACTTGAAGGTTGCTAAGAGAATAGGTCTTAACTGTTATCATCACACACACAAAAAATGGTAACTATGCAAGGTGATGGCACCATTTATTACCACCTAATTGTGATAATAATTTACAATGCATACATAAATCAATTATATCTCAATAAAGTAGAAAAAATATATTCAAAAAAATACTTGTTACATTTCAATCAATTTCAGTAGAATTTGCTTTTTAAAAGAGAAGTGTATTTAATTTTTTCTGTATATTTAAATGAGGATTTTACAATTAAATTCACTGAAGTTTCTTCTATATAGTTTTGAAAATATTCTAGTTTTAAAAGTATAATAACCGTCAATTTTAAATTCCAGAAAACAATAGAGTGCCTCATGTAAACCTTTAAAAGTTGGCATTTAGTGAGAAGACTTACTCAACAAGAGAATATGGATCAGTTGATAAAACCTGTTGCTATTTTATTTATTTATTTATTTATTTATTTATTTATTTATTTATTCTGCTATTTTAAAAGAATATATATATATATATATATTCTCACTGAGAACTAAATTAGTAAGTAAATCTTTATTCATAGGTAAAGATTCGTGATTCAATCCTGGGGAGAAAATCCTAGCATTATCCATTTTGTTGATCTATACAATAAGCATTTATTAATATGCTACCAAATGCCAGATTCTATGATTGAAGCCCTAATAATATAAAAATAAATAAGTCTTGCTCTCATGGAGCTCAGAATTTACTATTGAGAGTTCTTGTTTGAAGCCATAAGTGAACTTTTGTAAGTTAAACAACCATCTTAAATTGCATACACAGGTTTTTGTTATGAGCATACATGCAAAATTTTCCCAAGAGCCCCTAGCTTTCATTATATCTTCAAAAGGATCAGTGATAGTGAAGCAATAAATATATAACAACTAAAAGGAGAAAAGAGATAAATACATTAGCTTGTAATTGAAAAATAGTGGATAATGTTCCCTTGACAACTCTGACCACCCCCTACACACACCAAAAAGAAAAAAAGGAAAACACTAATTCTGCCTGGGAAATTCAAAAGATTATTCACACAAGAATAAAAATGGCAGGCAGACATTGCAAATGTGGTTGTTTAACTTAAGAGAGCTATTGTTATAGATATTATTTTAAGTACCACCCACATTGGATCCAGTGTGAATATGGGACACTATAATCAATGATGGCACAAGTCCTATACATTTAAATACTTTCTAAATAGAATGTAATATTGCAGTCTTAAAACAATGTTCTAAATTTCCAGAATCATCTTTATCTGTTATTTATATATTTAAGGCAAATATGTTCTCAAGAGTTTTCAACTTAAACTTATTAAAATCAGTAGAGAAAAAAGTATTAAATTAAAAAATAAGAGTGAGTTATAATAAAGGGACCTAGTAATAATTTATTGGCCTAGAAATTAAAAATAACTTTTTCTTATAAGAAGGAAAATTTTTAAAGAAAATTGTTCAAAAAATTACCAATTATTAAAGAAAACAAATGGTGTGTTGGGAAGAAAAAAACATTATACACTCAGTTCTCAATAGGAAAGTTACCTTCCAGTACGGCATATGTATAGGAAAGTTACCTGAAAGGTAACCTATGATATATTAATTTGAAATTTCAGGCAATACCTGAATAAACATCATTATCAAATGTTTTCCTTTGACATAGAAAATAATTTGCTATAAAATGACTGTGAGAAAGTATAAATATAATTTATAAAATATTATGAAAGAAAAAGATCAGCTTTAAATACTAGAAAGACTAGTAAATATATCTTTATGATTTTTGTATCACAAAATAAAAAGATAACATTAGATTTACTGGCATTATTATTTGTAAATACCATTTAAGTCAGTTTTTAAAAGTAGGGCAGAAGGATTCAGTTAATGATTTAATATGATAATATGATCAGAGTATGAACAGCTATGCCACCTAACTTATGAAGACTGATAGCTTACTAAGACTTGTTTCAAGACACTCCTTTACTGTGCCCAATTACCCAAAATAAAGAAGTCATAAACTTTGCCCAATCCCAATCAATTCCCCAATTTTAAGACCTGTCTTACATTATACAGCCCAGGTCCTAAAATATCATAAGTCCTTTGACTTGCACCTTCTGAAAAACTATTAAAACTATCTAACAGATTTTCCCTTTTCGAACTAAATAAAATTCTCATTGCTTAATCAGCAGGAATTAGTAGTGGTCTTTTGGGGGAATCAATAGCCAATAAGTAAAATAACAATTCTTTCATCATTTGTTTCCTTTTCTTTTTATCCTGCTGTTATATTATGAATCTGCTTTGACAGAATGCCAAAAAATTATTTAGATTATGACATTTTAAATAAGTAGAAAAGCATACGTTCAAGAAAAATAAACTTGTCATTAACTAACGCAAAAAACAATATTCACTGTGGTTTGCATTGGGTATTAACTCTTAAATTATTTGCTATAAGTCACTATAAAATATTTCACTTTTAATAGTAGAATGAGAATGGGAGACTTATTCATCCTAGATGGGGAATTAAGGCTGACTGTGATGCAATTTTTTAAACTTGCAGATTTATTTAATCCTCCTTCTTATAATCTGAAGGCCACAATCTAAAAGAATCCTGTATTTGTTATGAATTTAAACTACAGCATCTATAATTATTAAAAGAAGATAAAAGATCTATAAATGATATTACTGGATAAAGATGTTATCTTCTGAGCTCTCTAAAAATTCATGATTGTAATAAGTACTTGAAAATCTCCATTTGTGTATGTGAACAACTAAGTTTTTTAAGTTGCAGGGATGTAAAAAAAAGTTATATATATATATATATATATATATATCAATCAATGCTATAGTGGACATTTACAGATAAATTGATAAATAATTCTTAAATCAATCTTTTAAAAAAATGTCAGAATGTATTCAAAAATGCCTTTCTGGGGCACTTGGGTGGCTCAGCCAGGTAAGTGTCAAACTCTTGATTTTGACCCAGGTCATGATCTAAGGGTCATGAGATTGAGCCCCATGTCAGGCTCATGCTGGGTATGGAGCCTGTTTAAGATTCTCTCTCTTTTTTTTGCTCTGCCCCCCCCCATGCTTTTTCTCTCTATAAAAAATAATAAATAAATAAATAAATAATAAATAAATAAAATTTATAAAAATGCCTTCCTCAGGCAAAAGATTTTGATTAGCCAGTAATATGAGTAAAACATATGGAAAGGACTTTAATGTAGAGATCTTCAGTACTTTCTGGAAATTATCCTATTCTTTTGTTACTAATAAAAAATATATATTATTGACAAACCTCATAAGTCGCTGGACCAGGAGTAATCTCTTTGGAATCTTTAAAACGCTTTGATGCTTTAACAAATAAGGGTATGGAGCAAGATTTCTTTAAAACAGGATCGTATGTTGCAGGCCCTAAGAGCAAATAAGTGTAGAAAATAAAAGTATGTTAAAATTATTGATTTGGGTCACATTATTCTTAGATATGTGCTCCTAATGTATAATTTTAGCATCAAACAATCTTGGACTCATTCTTTTTGAATGCTTAAAACCATCCAGGTTAGGGTTTTGAAATATAATAAGCACACAAAAAAGTGATATTTGTTCATCTAATAATTAAATGTAATACAGAAGTGTTTTCTCAAAAAGGAAAATAGTACCCCCTCAAGATACATACATAGTGAAAAAGATACCCAATTCTTTTATTTCCTAAAAATTCATTCATATGTTCAGCAAAGATGCAGTATAGAAAATGCATTTCGAAATATGAATAAGACTTAAAGAAGCAAAAAAAGTTATTTAACAGCATTCTGGGCACTATACATGATAGAAGTCGAGGTACAAAGATGGAATTCACATGGAACAATTGGATATAATGAACAAACTGGTTGAATGGAATAGGGCCTAATCCCAAATAATGATTTTGTACTAGAGCCAATAGGTTTCAAATTGTACTCTAAAGTACCCTCAGAATTACACATTAGTGCCCAGGAAACAATGTATTGGTAAAGCACAAGTAGAAGCCTGAATTATTTTCATTCAAAATAGCTCTGAATTTACTCTTCTTTGAATCCTACATACTTTTTTAACTAAAATTGTCTAATTAATTTTTTTAAAGCATTTTGAGGGGCACCAGGTGGCTCAGTTGGTTAAGCATCCCACTTTTTGTTTTGGCTCAGGTCATAATCTCATGAGGCCTGGAATGGAGTCCAGCAGCAGCAGCAGGTATCTGCTTGAGATTTTCTCCCTCTGCCCCTTTCTCCACTCTTGCATGCATGCACTCTCTTTCTAAAATAAATAAATAAATCTTTAAAAAATAAATAATTTATTTATTTTAAAAAAGCTTTTGGAAGCTACTTCCACAGGCAGTGGGTAGCTCTTGGGTTTTAGACCAAAGGAGATTCACGAGAAAGAGGTAGTTTATGAAATAAACTTTGGTAGTACTTTTATAGGGTGGGATGACTTGGTGGTTTGTTTTAAGGACACTAATAAGTGGTTTACTAACATTGGTAAGGGAAAGGAAGAACAACTCAGAATATTTTCTAAGAGATGCAATAAATATTTAATATGTATAGTGACTGGAAGAAGTTAAAAATGAGTAATGGCGAATAAAAAGGCAATACTGTGACAAAAATAAGAAAACACAAAAGAGAAACCACTGAAGAGGAACATCATGTGTTTGTTTTGAACCTGTTAGGACTGAAAATATGGCAGAATATCCAAAAAGAAATGTTCAGAGGACAACTTGAGATACATAACTGAAACATGAGAAAGATGTCCTGAAGAAAAGGAAAGGAATTATTCACACAGAGGTGAAAGTTGAGGTATTTCTAAGTGAAAGAGCATGCACAGGGAAAACTGAGTAACTGAGGACTGAAACTTGGAGGTTCTGCATAAAGGAAGGCAGGGGAAAAGTCAAAGAAGGAAATAGTCTAGTGATCAGAATATGGCTAGTACAACATCATAGAAAGAAAATAGGGAGAGGTTTTTTTCTTGTCTCTATTCACATGTTAGCCAATACTTATTGAGTATCTGTCGCATGCCAAGCCTATATTTCCAGAGAGTGATTAGAGGCCTACTATATCAAATGTTGCAAGAGGAGACTTCACAGACAGGTAACCTGGGAGCATCTGGAAGAGAGATGATAGATGAAACTAAATTAGAGGATTAAAGAGAGTGTGAGGAGATGAAGCAACAACATGAGCACAGAATACTGACAATGGACATAAACAGTGAAATAGTAGATATAAAGATGTTAATAGAATACAAAATAATGCATCCATCTCACTAGTACATATGCATTTAAAAATTACAACTTTCAAGAATAGATCCCTGCAGATGTTTTCAAATCTAAAATATTTTAGAATTGATAAATTCACATGAAGCATTTTAAGGCTTTAGCTTTATTAACATAGGACACTTCAAAATTTACAATGAAAGATGACATTTGGCTCTAGTTCAATCATTCTAACATCAACTCAATTAATAGGATAGATTTCCAAAATTATAAAGCCTTTGTAGGAACCTGCTATGAACTGAAAGTTTGTGGTCCCTCAAATTCCTATGTTAAAACCCTAATCTCCAATGTGATGGCATTTGGAGATGAGACCTGCAGAAGGTATTTAGGGGGGCACCTGGGAGGCTCTGCCTTTGGCTCAGGATTCTGGGATAGAGCCTCATACAAGGCTCCTTGCTCAGTGGGGAATCTGCTTCTCCCCCTACCCCTCCCCTCTGCTCATGCTCTCTCTCTCTCTCTCTCAAATAAATAAGTAAAATCTTTAAAAAGAAAAAGAAGAGAAGGTAATTAGGTCACAAGAGTGTAGCCCTCATGATGGGATTACTGCCCTTCCAAAGAGACACAAAAGAATTAATTTCATTCTCCCTCTGTCTCTCCTATGTATGCAGATATCTACCTGCAAGCTAGGAGGAAGGCCCTCACTAGGAATCAAATATCACTTTGAATTTCCCAGACTCCAGTAACTGTGAGAAATAAACTTGTACTATTTAAACTACCCAGTCTACAGTATTTATGTTATAATAGAATGGACTAAAACAGAAGCTCAAGTGTTTTGATCTACCAAAAGACAAAGTGTTGTAGCAAATGCCATCTTGCATTCCTGACTTTGGAATAATATAATTTCTATTCATAGGGCAGAGAAACAATGTACATATACATACATAATACCTTTACAAATAGATATATACAAACTAAACTACACATGGGAAAATGTATCAGTTACTGCAGCATACAGAAAAGAAGAGAAATTTATCATCAGGAACTGGGTGCATGATCCTACAGTCAATTAATTAAAAATTGCAGCTTTAACCATAAAGATGTATAATGGTTAACACAACAGGTAAGACTATTAGCCAAACTCTGTTGTATCAGTAAATTTCATTTTCAACAATGAAATGAAATATGGTCTATTCCCTGTCCTTACTATCATACTATAGCAACTGATAAATATTTACCTTCATGGTTATAACTCATTAAAAGAAAAGAAAATATTCAAATATAGTTTTAGTGGATTTCCTTTTATTAGAATTTCTTTGAGGAACATCAAGCAAAGTAAAACTCTCAATGTACATCTTACTGCATTTTAGCACTTAGTTTGCTTCAAGCTACAGAACATTAAAAAATGGTTTATTATAGTTGATCTTAAAATATATTTCCTTTTTTTAAAAGATTTTATTTATATATTCATGAGAGACACAGAGAGAGAGAAAGAAGCAGGGACATAAGCAGAGGGAGAAGCAGGCTCCAAGCAGGAAGCCCGATGCAGAACTCGATCCCAGGACCCCAGGATCACACCCTGGGCTGAAGGCAGATGCTCAACTGCTGAGCCACCCACATGTCCCTTAAAATATATTTCCAATTACATATGCCATTGCTTATATGATACAGGTCAAAGACTTATACTGCTTTACCAGCTCTGATTCACAGATAGATTATGCAGAAATTATCTTCTATTTATTTACCAAATGCCACATTTTAATCACAGGTAATGGAAGAAGAAAATTTATCATTCCAAATCAAACACCTATGAAAAGTCTGCCTGAATCACAACTATTATAGAATGGGAATTCAAGAGCAGGTGATTCTTATAATTACACATTTTCCAGCCCTGTGTCTGTCAACTGACTATGAAATGTCAACCAATGCTCTAGGGTAAAAATGGGAGAGAACAGGAACAATGAGTAATTTAAAATAAAAATCATTTTGGTACATTAGTGTGGATTCAGAAATAACTACTTCTATAAATAAAGCTACAAAACCTCAGATTAAGAAATGGCTCTCTTCATAACAAGATAAAATTTATATGTTACGCAGTCAGTTTTGCTTATGAATACCGAGTCTTTTCTTTTTTTCATGTTAAGCTGAAAGAAAACTACTGAAAAGTAAATATCCCACGTGTGAGCATGTCTTTAGGAATTAAAAAGCATCGAGGAAATTGTCATTAAAATGGACTGCATGGCTTTAAAATGTCATTTAGAGACTTGAGTTTTTATGGAACACATTTTCTCATGCTGATTTTATTATTCAGCTACGAATGAAATAATAGCTAAGACAAAAGATTAGTACACAAGGAACTATTATCATCATGTCAAAGCCACATTTAGTTTTACTGCTCTTCTTCTGCTTCTAAGACTTGATTTGATGAAATGGCACTTCAGATTATGACCAAACAGCTATTGTCCATCAAATTAAGCTTATAGGTGATGAGAAAAAACAGACAAATGTTTCAATAATGAATAAACTTTTAACCAAAATTCCATGTATGTCTTACCATCTTGTTAACATCTTTCAAAATCAAGATGGGAATTACATATTTTAAGAAATAAAACCTTAAATACTTAAGAATGACATCTTAAAAGTACTATAAATTATCCAAGAATTACTGCCAGCACAGTCCCTAAGAAATAGCCTACTATAATGCACTCCAACCTAAGTAGACTGAGAACTGCATCAATTGGAGTCTACCTAAATCATCCATCTGTTAAAATGTGTGTTCCTAACATTGAGTAAGGAGTAGGGCCATCACTGTTATGACATAAATACAAAATCAGATGGCTTTGGCTAACACTGAAATATATCTTCAGACAGCAGCGTATATTTAGCCAATGTACCTCTAAAACATTCTTATGAAATTCTTACCAAAATGTGCACCCATAAGCCCTATCAAATGAAGTCTTTAAACGGACCTGTAAAAAAGATATTTTCACTCTCTGATAAGTACATCATACAAATTTGAAAGACTTTCTTGTAAATGTAGGTATAATGCACTTTCTGTATGAATTTAGGAACCAAAGGAAGGAAGAATGATCATCTTTCACCTACTACCACTTTGAGTAGGTGGTATATAAATATGTAACACACGAGTTGTTTTCATTGATAAATGAACAAAATTATCAAA